CTTCCTTCCTTCCTTTCCTTCCTTCCTTCTTTCTTTCTTTCCTCCCTCCCTTTCTTTCTTTCTTCCTTTCCTCCTTTCCTTCCTTCCTTTCCTTCTTTCTTCCCTCTCTCCCTTCTTCCCTCCCTTCCTCCTTTCTTCCCTTCCTTCCTCCCAAGTAAGACCCGCTATAGAAAGCCAACGTTGTATAGTGGTTTTCGTGTTGGACTGGGAGACGAGGGTTCAAATCCCCGCTCAACCATGGCAACCCAGTGTCACACTCTCTCGGCCTCAGGGGAAGGCAATGGCAAGAAAGCCCTTAGGGCCGCCAAAAGTCAGAGCAACCATGTTCGGGGCCGCTTAGGGCAGAGGATCGCCTCCCCAAACCAAGATGGCACAAGCCTGATTTTTATCTTTTGTCCTTTTGGTTTTGTTTTTGGGATTTGTGTGTGTGTGGTGTGTGTGTGTCCTTGGCATCCGGGAGAAAGACAGTACATACTTCTAGATTCCTTGGCTTCAGTGGTCTGATCTGCACTGCGGAACTAATGCAGTTTGGCACCGCTTTAACTGCCATGCCTCAATGCTAGGGAATCCTGGGATTTGTAGTTTGGCGATCTCTTTAGCCTTCCCTGTGGTGCCCCAACAATCGATCAGTCCCAGGATTCCCTAGCACTGAGGCATGGCAGTTAAAGCGATCTCAGACTGGATGATTTTTGCAGAGCGGATGCAGCACAGTTGAGATGGGAAACTAACGCGCAAGCGCCTTCACGCTCTCCCGAAAGAACGGCGAGACAGGAAGACTTTGAATGTATCCACACTGTAGAAATCATTCGGTTTGATCCCGCTTTAACTGCCATGGGCAAGTCCCTTTTTTTGGAGGACAAGTCCCAGAATCCTCCAGCAACCTAGTTCCTCTTGGATTAGAATTCCCAGACCTCCCCAGGAACAAAGTTCCTTTTTGGACTGCAGGTCCCAGAATCCTTCAACTAAGTTCCTTTTGGACTAGCAGTCCCCGAATCCTTCACCAGCCCCATTCCTTTGGGTCTAGAAGCCACCCACACCTCCACTCTTCTAGAAACCTTGTTCCTTTTGGACTACAAGTCCAAGGATCCTTCACCACTGAAGTTCCTTTTGGGCTACAAGTCCCAGAATCCTTCAGCTATTCCATTCCTTTGGGTTTAAAAGCCCCCTCCCCTGAGTCCTCCAGCAACTCGGACAACAAGTCTAGGGATCCTTCACCGATGAGGTTCATTTTGGATTGCAAGTCCCAGAATCCTCCAACAACCCCTTTCTTTTGGGTTTAGAAGGCCCCCACCCCACTCCACCTGCAACCTAGTTGCTTAGTATTACTGGTCCCAGAATCCATCAGCAACCCCAGCAACCCAGTTCCTTTTGGACTACAAGTCTCAGAATCCACCACCAACCCCATTCCTTGGGATCCAGAAGCCTCCGACTCCTCCAGCAACCTAGTTCCTTTTGGACTTCAAGTCCAGGGACCCTACAGCAATGAGGTACCTTTTGGAGTACAACAAGTCCCAGAATCCTTCAGCAGCCCCATTCCTTTGGCTCTAGAATGCCAATTCATAATATATGATCATACTATATATCTATAGTATGATCAGAATATATATGATCAGAAACATATAGTGTATGATCACATATTATGATCATATATATATATATATATATATATATATATATATAT